CTCTAATATAACCCCCCTTTTCACCATGTGCGCCCATTTATTAAGTCATTTCGAATGAGGACAAATTCATTACCAGACCCTTTCCATACCTTACCTTACCTAGTAGCAATCTTCTACTTTTTGTTCGCGCTCTTGTTTGCTTCCAATATACCAGCCAGCTGCTGCGCAGACTCTGGCTTTTTGACCTGCAGAACCCACGTTTCGAGACCAGATCCCTCGTCGTTTGCTGCCACAAAGTTGACCGTCTTCTCCTTGGCTTTATATTCGACGTCTGAGAGGATGGCTTTATTCATCGCGATATGGCCTCTCGGCTCGGCACGTAGTAACACACGGACGGTCCCGCTGGTCTTGTTCTTAAGAACACGTAGCGGTCCCACTCCCTGAGTCGACCATGGTGACTTCCTCTCCTCTTCGTCGTCGCTGCCTTTGATTATCGGTACGAACTTGATAGCCTTGGCGCGTACTTCGTGCAACATCATCTCGTCCTCCTCACCTGGCCCGCCATTGATGAGTGATATCTGCTCTTGTGGAGCTTCCTCGCCATCGTGCTGAGTCTGTGGTTCTGGTGTACCGTTCACTGGAGTTGTACCTATGCTAGAGGGCGCAGGGAATGGTGAGTCTGAGCCTGTCAGTATATCATGTATACTTTGGTTATGAGAGAACTTACTGGTACCTGTAAACTCACCACCAGCCTGCAAGAAGCTCCCGGTACCTGAAAAGGACGATGCCGGTTTGGGAGCAAATGGATTCGAGATGTTCTGGTTTGGCGTTGCTTGAGTGAAGCTGAAGCTGGGGCCTCCGTTGCCTCCGTTGCCCCCATTAGAGGATCCTCCAAAGAGAGAGGCTCCTTGGTTAGCTGGAGCCGGGTTAGGCGTAGATGGTGCTTGTTGGCCAAAACTGAAGCTGAAGGAGGAGGATGGGTTCGGTGTCGATGGCTGGGCACCAAACGTTGGCGCAGGCGGTGGTGCGCTCGAGGCAAAGGGGTTATTGAACGATTGTCCGTTCCCCCCGGCGGAAAAGGTGAAACCGGAGCCGGAAGAAGCCGAAGTATCTTGCCCAAAGGTGAACGACGATGAGCCAGTTGTGGGAGCTCCGAACTGAAGGTCAGGTTTCTTCAACTCGGTGTTATTGGGCTGGATACCATTGGTACTCGCACCGAATATCATCGCTGGCGCAGGTTGTGCGTGGCTGGGAGCCGGGGACTGGGCTCCAAAAGTGAAGGAGGCCGCCTTAGGCGGGGCACTGTTAAAAAGGCTTGACGGGTTCGAGGCTGTAGGCTCTGCCTTCTTCTCGGCAGGGGTTGTGTTGGAGTTGAATGGATTACCCGTAGTTGAAGTATTGCCGAACAACGAGGATGCTGTTATTGTGACGGGTTTCTTTTCCGCAGGCGTTGCTTCGCCGTTCTTAGCACCAAAAATATTTGTCGAAGGGGCCGGATTACTTCCAAATAGCGAGGCTCCCATTGTAGTAGCTGGCTTAGATGCATCAGAGCCGAATAATGATTTAGACGTAGGCGTAGCAGGTGTAGCTTCTGGCTTTGAGGCACCGAATGTAAAGCTTGCTGATGCTGGCTTGCTTGAAGAGTCGAATAAGGACTTTGCGGTGTCAGAGCCATTGGCTTTGTTATCACCCGCGCTGAATGATGCCGAACTCGAAGAGCCACCGAACAAATTTGATGCAGGTGCTTTTGTAGTGTTTCCAAACAATGATTGACTGTTGGTGGCTCCATTCGCTTGGGATTCAGTCGCCTTCACGCTACTGCCAAACAATGATACGGCCTGTGATGGGGTGGATGTGCTGGTTGAAGCACCGAAAAGAGGTGTGGGCCTTTTAGAGGTTGAAGGTGTCTCGCTAACTTTGCACTCTGGAGCGACATCTGGATTACCCTTCTGCTGCTCCTTAGCAGTTGAAGTGCTCGTCTCATTTGCCTTCGCGGCATCACCAAATATTGATTTAGTAGGAGCCGGACTGAACAAACTAGAGGCTGGGGTAGGCTTTTGTGCCGAGAAGAGAGAGCTGGCAGTGCCGTTGGGCTTCATTGGAGATGAAACAGACGACGTGGTAGATGCGCCGAAGAGCGATGCTGTGTTTGGCTGGAAGGCTGGGTTGGCCGGAGCACTGGCTCCAAAGAGGGATGCTGCCGATTTTGCTACCGTTGTAGCCTCTGGCTTGCTAGATTCGTTCGTGGATTCTAGACGAGAAGTTGTTGCTGGAGGCTTGGTAGCACTGGATGACGGTGGGCCGAAGGATATCGGGGTTGTTGACGCATTGAACGTAAAGTCACCCGGTTGCTTAGAAGGAGTCTTACTCTGTTCCTTTTCAACGATAGGCTGCTTAGCTGGAACGATATCGCTTTCCTCTTCTTCATTGGCTGTAACTCGAAGCGGTTGTCCATTAGACCCCATCTGAACTCGCCCGAAGAGACCTCCTTTCGAGGTGAGATCGTTAGACTTGGTCAGGCTACCAAAGATATTGGAAGCGGCAGTAGTTTTACTGGTAGAAAATAGAGTTGATCCGCTCTGGGTGGAAGGGGTGTTTGTGCCGGCACTACTAGCAACACTGGGTTGGGCACTCTGTGACGCCTCTTGGCTATCCGCTGCTTCCTCTTCCTCTTCCCCTTCGGACTCGGACTCAGTATCGCCGCCATCAGCATTGTCATTCTCATTGCTGCTACTATTCGCAGAACTTTCGGACAGGTAGCTGAATATGTTACTGGTAGTTTTGGCTGGTACTGACCCAACCTTATGCCCGGTAAGCACTGACCCAGCAGTGCTATTCTCTTCCACAGTCTCGACTGTTGCAGGCTTAAATATATTGGTAGATGTTGTGAACGGATTTGATTTGCCATTCAGGTTGATATTCTGGGATTCGCTCGACTTCTGAGATCCAAAGGGCGCTAGGGGAGCCCTCTTGACAGGCGAAGTACTTCCACTTTGTGCTCTGTTGAGAATACTCTCGAACTTGGATTTGGCGGCAGTTGGGGTGGCCTTTTGTACTTTATTGGGTTGATTCTCATCTGGTTCATCAGTTTCGTCAGCCTTACGCTTACTCTTCTTGAAGGGAGCAGGTCCCGTAAGAGCGGCTTCGGCCTTTTCTTGAGTGATATTGCGACGCTTATTCTGGTTGGCAGTCGACGCCATTAGTGCGTTATCCTTTGGTGCGATGTCCTCCTCAGCCTTGCGCTTCGTCGACACGGCCCCCGAAGCCCCAGGGCGACGATTACTCTGGGCCGGAGTTGCCGGAGCCGTTTTCTCCGCTTGCGGCTCCGGCTCCGGTAGGTTGTGGGCTGCTCTCCACCTCTTAAGCACCTCTTCTGATGGCTTCACGTTCTTGAACTCGTATAGCCCGTATCGTAGCATGATTAATCCCCTGCTCTTCTCATATTCCTTCGCGAAGTTCATTATGTTCAGTTTCCAATCCTTCTTCGCGAAGATCTCATCAGCAGCGTATTTCAGTCTTCGCAAATCAAGGACACAGAAAAACTGTCGTCGCTGAAGGTCATCGAAGTTCGGGGGGCATTTATGAGCTAGGAACTGATCTGCGTAGATAGTACCTGTACGATTAGGATCATCGGGAACCTCTTTTGATAGAGCCGCGCCGGAGAGCTCGGGGTCGGGAGATGGTATCCTCATCTTGAAAGGCTCAGCTGAGGCTATACCATACAGGCCGCCTTGCGTAGTTTTCTGGGGAAACTTGCGACCGCCTGGGGTTGTCTTTGTTACATCCGCCGGTAAGCTAGGCGCAAATTTGATAGCACGGGAGGTTTGTGGAGTAGAAGTACGGAATAAATCGCGACCGTATGAGTTATTCGTGGCTACTTTCCCCGTGAGATGCGAAGTGCGCGCGGGAGATGGCCTATTCATGGGAACGAGTGACGATCGGAATCTGCTTGCTGAAACAGACCGGAAAGGTGTCGAGCCCTGTTGACCCGGCGCGGGGCGAGGTTTGAGAGGTGTGGTGGAATTCATTGTGTGTATAGATGGCTATCAAAGGACGTATATATTTCCTAGATAACGCGTGATGGTTGAGGTTGTTGGAAAAGGAAAGAGGACGTGTGCGATGGATGATAGACGCGTCGGGGGAGGATGAAAGGTCGATGTTGGGATTGCCTAGGCGACCGGCTGCGACTAAGCCGGAGACGGGTTGACGAATAATGAGGTGGAATGAAGACTAAGGTAAATGTAGAAAAGCCTCAAAGGCAAGTCTCAAGGGATTCCAAAATATGTTGGCATGCGATAATTGAATCAAATGTGAAAGGGTAAGTGAATTTTGTTTGATGGATGGCCGGTGATCCCTCAACACCTTGACGACAACAAGGCCAGGAAGATTTTGCTTCTGGAGAAGAAAGTGACTGGGAGTGATGTTATTATTTTGGGTTCTAGGTCCGTGGCTGCCAGGGAAAAAATATGGGTAAATTCGGTACGTACCTAAGCTATGACTGGTACGTGACAGTCAATTAGGTGTCATTATCCACCTACGGAAGCTTGTATTTTTAAGTAATGGCCTCACTTTATTGGGCAAAAACTTAGACGCGCTTTGCAAATATTGGGCCAAGTACCAGTACATTACATACATGTACTATTAAGCAGGCAGCCTCCCATTTTGATAACTATGTGCACGGACCATTGTTCGGACCCGCTCTCTTTATGTACTTTAAGAAGTACATAACGGAACCCATTCATCTACCTAGCGCGCGCATTTAGGTTTGCAACATCCATACAGTACGAAAGACAGTGTACCTTACCTACCTAATGTACATAACCTACCTCTTTCACCTTGCCATTTCTTATTGGTACTATGTCCTCAAGTGCCAGGAAAGCATGATGGATTAACCCACAGGATAGAGATAATATATGATTAGCCCAAAGAATTCCCGGAATTCCGTAATGTAATTGATTAAATATCTTGATTGGATATGCCCTTGTGAAGAATAACTCCCTGTATCTTTCTGATAGTTATAATGAAGAGAATTATAAGACTAACTACCCTAGTAAAGAAACGCCCTTTATGTATTTTATGGCCAAGTACTTTAAATGGAATAGGGAAATGCGTTGCTTGATTTAGTCAGCGCATATCTAATAACTAGGTAGTCTAAACGCGATATCACTTGTCCATATGTTTACTAGTAAGTCATCAAAAATCGATATTGTTTGTACTAAACAGCAAAGAGTTACCAGTTTCGCAGGGGATGCTAGATTTGTATATACCTAGGTACATATCTAAATTTGAATACGGCTATTCACCTACATATAGACTTGTAATTTTCTAAATATATCTCTAAAGCCAGCTAATCTTATACGACTCTTAGTTCACAGAAATTCCGTTCCGAAATTCATTATGACAGCGAACTAAGTTAATTGGCTAAATTCAATGATATAACGCCTTAGCGTCGAGTGTATACTCTAAATAAAAAACAAATAGTACGTGAGTTGCTTATATCGTCGAAAGTTGAATCTTATACAGGGCTACATATTAGCGACACTCCGATATCTCATAGCTTCGCCTTCGTCTGTGCTTTGGCCAGGATAGGCTGTAGTTTAGTCGCTTTCATCATATCGCCCTTAATCTTTAACTTTCCGGACATGAATAATCGCTGCGCATTGGCCTGGCCAGTTACGAGCTTGCCGAAGTCTTCGTCCGAGAGCGACAGAGTGACTATGTATCGCGGTGAATTAGTATCCAGTTCCACGCGAGCAGGCTCTATATGTGAATTATAGCGGAGTATTACCTGTTGGCTTCTCGCCTAGACCCGTAGCGACGGTACCCTTCTCTTTAAGATCGATATGCCAACTCTCGATCTCGCCGGCTTTGTTCTTTATGTTAAAGGCGAAGATGGCGTTGCCTTGCTTGATAGCATCTTTTCGGTCGGCCTCGCTTTGTAAAGCCTCGTTGATAGCTTCAAAGGCTCCCGAAGAAGGAAACTTGTCTACGAGAAGAGGATTAGTCTTTTATAAAAAAATAGTTGGGGGAAGCGCGCGACGGCTAGTGTTATATTGGCATACCATTCTTTAGACTCATTTTTGCGAAATTGGTTAAGTTGAGGATGAATGCGATTAGGAGAGATAGATTGTAGAAGATGCTTGGTAGGTGAGCATGCGAGATAGTGGAAGTTATAGAGAAAGTTAAGTATTTCGGAGATTGGGGAGGCTTCAGCAAAGTTACATAATGTAAGGCTGATGACGCTGTTGCTCGGTCGTTGCACGTGTCAATTGAACCTCGGCCGTTCCTTTAATTCAATGTTCATGTGCTAGGTACTAGGGGAGGCTAAGGGAAGGGAATGATTCATTTAGGTAAGCAACCTAGACAAACCAACAATTTAGGTAACTTTCAAATTATCAGCCACAAAGACGTCATGTCATCACATTGCCAGATTGCCCAGAATGTAAGTTCCCGTCTTTTGAAACCACTAGCCTCATCTCCTCAGCCACTTCGTTCATCAGCCAGTAAACGTTCTTTAGGTACATTTTACAGTTTGCATTTTGCATTTTCCATCTTACATCTTACATCTTACATGTAAGTCAATTTACATGCAAGTCAATTCTTCGCGTGGTAGCTCGATACGATTAGGTACCTATTCACTTAAGTAAATCCCAACATTCTGGCTCAGGGCCGACCTAGATTCGCATGTTGCATGACGGTGCGTTCCGCGGGCTTACGGGCTTGCCATATCGAGACCTGATAGACTTGATTCTGTCAGCCGTCTGCACTTAAAGGCGTTGTCAATCCAATAGAAAGCCTTGCTGTGTACCAAGCAACGCTCCCGTGGGGAACCCCTGACATGTCGAAAATCCCCCATCATCTGATCTCTTCTTATCCTCGTTCTATATATCTTGTGTATTACTTATTTCCGGCATTACCCGCCGTCTCACTGGTTTGGTATTCGTACATATGTACACAGGCACCAATGCACAAACGCACAAATGCACCAATATTAATCGAGTAACCGATCGAACATTGCCAAGAAGGTATGTATGTGCTGTCATCAAGGTCCAGACACAACGGCGGGGATTCCCTACCCGAGATCTCTTGTCTTCGCGTCTTCGTATCTTCGTATGAGAATCTCGAGTCGTACAAAGGTGCCGTTGCTTATAACGAACTCGGGAACAAGGGATTTATGGGATTTGAACCCTTTGTCCTGGCGTGTTACAGCGGCATAGCATGACGTATAAGCAAAGACAAGTATCACAGTTATTCCGTCAGCATGACTGCTTAGCGAAGCTTTTAGCATAGAGAAATCGTACCGTTCCTGGTCGCCGAACTACCGATGGCTGGTCTCCTCGCCGACTAGCTGTCAATATTACTTCTACCCCTACCGCAGGCTAGTTATATTCGAATCTCTTTAGCTTCTCTAAAATTTTGGCCTTTTTATTAGCATGTGTTTCGACGTCTCGAATGTTTGGGTGACAGTTGCTCGGGGTCTCATCCGGTCACTCGGGATTTGACTGGCAGCAACCCTGGCAGCAAAGACGGCTTCTAATTGGTCGGTAGGGAACTGCGGAGATCCTGATACTTCTTAATTGTACGATATCGCTGGAACCAAGTTCGAGAGCCAACGTACATCCCTTGTATCAAGCATCCGGGGACCATCCTATCGACAAAGTTACCCAGCTTGGCTAAACCATACATTTGAATCGTTACAATGCGTCGTATGATGGCAGATTCGAGAATTAGATAACCTGAGTAGACTATCCCTTCTGTTAATACATAGTTATCGGACCAGAGTGGATAATATACCCCCTTCTACCTCCGCATCTGCGCCGCCGGGCTGCCTTTCCCAGCCTCGCGACCGTAAAAAAGTCCAAAACCCGTTTTGAATATGCAAGGCTCGGAACCCGTGGGCAAGGTCTCAAGCTAAAGACTTAGGCGTACAAATTCCGACTTAACACGCCGAAGGATGGAGACTGTTAGACGAGCGCAGGGGTGCTGGACCTGCAAACGTAAGTCTTCGAGTATAACATCAGCATTCGCGACACTTACTAACCATTTCGGAAGGACGTAAGATCGGATGTGACCGCGGCTATCCAGCCTGTAACAACTGCCTTCGCACCGGGAGAGAATGTCTAGGCTACGGCATCCGTCTCGCGTGGCCAGATCAGCCCGACGGTAGACGCCGATTAACTCGCCTTCCGGACCACACGATTCACCACCACGAAATTGATCCCAAGTATTATGGAAAACAGTTTCTGAATGTGACTTACTCGGACTTAGCTCTTTCTAGGAAAGGTATATCGCCTATTTGCCTGTCGATCATCCGTGCTCAGTCGCGGCCGGGACGATGCCTCCCTTTATTCACAAATCTTCATGAGAGGGAGTCTCACCTTATTAACTACTGTAAGAGCGGGCCCATGACATATCAGATGAGTTCCACTTCAAAAAGCTTACTGACGCCTACTATATCAGATCAGAATAAGCTGTCTCAGATGATATCTACAATTGACATCAACAATGGATTCCGCGACGATTTGCTACCTATGGCACTCTCAAACATTGGTAATGCCTCCGACGGTCTTCGAAATGCCATGCTGGCTGTATCCGCTTTTCACCTCTGGGGTTCAGAAGCTGCTCTCTCCTACAAAGCCGACGCCCTTCGATCCCTGTCTTCCTCTCTGTCGAGCGAGTCTGTTGGCACAACCGAGACGCAGCTGGCTACGTCAATGATGCTTTGTGTTTACAATGTAGGAACCTGTCTGATTATTTTCCATTTATGGTTATGCTAATTGGAGATAAGGTCTTCGACGAGACTGAAGGAAATTGGAACCTACACCTCCGCGGAGCCCAGACTATTCTTCAGAAGCTCGCCAGCATCCACGGTGGGCAGTTAAAGTACGGCTTCCTATACACGTGGTTCCTTTACCACGAAATTTTGGGTGGTTTCAGCCAGCCACTTCAGTACGGGAGATGTCCAGCATCTCTGCAACTTTTATATGACACGGACTTTGATAAATCTTTGGTATTGTTCCCCGCAGACTTACTGATCGAAGATAATTGCCACTGACAGCCTATAGATAATAGGATCGCTCGGATGCTCCGTAGAGGTCATGGAAATTATTAGCTACGTGAATGGACTGCGTGCTCTCGAGCTTCGGGGCGCGTCCATGGATTTCAGCCCGGAAGAACGTGCTCGGAGGGCTGACGAATGGCGTGAAATCGAGAGCCGAATAACGAGCCTTGAACAGCATCTAGATCCCCATGATGCGAACCACATACCACCGGTAGAGAGGACTCGAATCCTAACGACCGCCGAACTTTATCGTATTGCGGCTTTGCTCTACTTGCAAAGAACAGCCGAATGTACACATAACCAAGAGCTTAGGTCAATGTACCTAGAGTACGCATTTTCTGCATTAAAGCGCCTCGATGTCTGCACGAGCCCATGGCCGCTTTTTGTCATCGCCTGCGAGACTGAAGATGATCAACAGAGAATAAGGATCCTCCAGACGCTCGACAAAATGGACAACGAACGGCACATTGGAAATGTGTTCGTTCTACGTGATATAATTGAGTCATACTGGAAACAGCAGGATCTCCAGGCCGACAGCGGCCGAATCTCTAATACTAAATGGTGGAACGTTGTCAACTTAGATATCGATGCACCTTGGTGTATTTGAAAACGACATCAGTCGCACTCCTCCCCACCGCCGTCACGTCATCATCGTCATCACCACTACCACTATACCCCCTATAATTGATTTCTCACAAACCATCTTAGCGACCTACTTAGGCCCGCCCTTATTTAGACATCTTCGTCACATGTAAGTCTTGAGTAGGATTTACCAGCAAGCTTAGCAGGTCCGGCCTAGCGTAATGACCGACGACATCGATGAATGCTTTGGGATAATCGATATCCCGCAAATTAATATTTGCCTTGAGGATAGCCTCTTCTCCAGCGCCAATGGGTTCGCAGAGCGGCTTACCGTCGGGTCCAAAAATCATGGAAAAGCCACCGCCGGGCTGGAAGGGAGTTATGTTAGTAGTTTACAGAGTAGCGGGAAGTGAGGATCTTACCGTCTTGGTTACTGGGTTGCCGGAAAGGTTGTTTTTTTCCAGGTTCTTCTCGGTTAGGATTTGTGATGCGACGAGGACGAAGCACTGCCCCTCTATAGCCATGAACTGGCTTGCTCGGTAGCTTGCCTCTCCCGTCTCATGATATAGCCAAGCAATTTTGGAGGGATCTGGCATTTCAAATTCTGCAGGCCAACTTGATATTCAAATCAGCAGGGTTCTTTTTTTTTTTTTTTTTTTCCTTCGGGATTAAAGCTAAAGGACGTTTAACACTAACCTGGCAACATGTATTTGAACCCCTTGCGAGTATTCGTAGTAACGAAGCAAAGGTTGTAAGTGCTCCCAACAATTCAAGCCACCGATATTACCAAATTTTGATGGCACCACACACTTAAGCGATTCGGCTTGGCCTTCACCCCAGATAGTTCGCTCTATATGTGTGGGCTTTATCTTCCGTCGGTGATGGACTATCTCACCTTCCGGCGAAATAAACGATTGGGCCATGTAGAGACTACCGCCCTCCCTCTCGCTATATCCAAGAACTACAAACATCCCTGCCTTTTTTATAGCGGCAAGGATACGTCTCATATGGTCTGAGTCTCGGGGCATCGAGTTGGCCATGTATTCGTGGATGATATGGGTGTTCTCGATGACGCTCGAAGTCCACATGGACCTAGGTTGAAGCAAACAAGTCGACGTTAGTGTTCCAATCCCTCGGAAATTATCGCCGGAACTTACCACGGGTATCCAGGAATCCACACCTCGGGAAAGCCAAGCACCTGGACGCCATCTGCAGCAGCCTCCTCGATGAGGGAGATGGTCTTGTCAACAGCCCCGTTAAGGTCAAGCCATACCGGCTCAGCCTGGACGGCACCGACACGGACAGTAGTAGACATCGTCGAACTAAAGAGTATAGCTTGGGTGGAAGTTTTGGAGACGATGGAGAGGAGCTTGGCGTCCAAGCAAGCTATTGACGATCATATGCTTGGACTTTATATACTGTCGTCTATCTCGTCTGCAGAAACGTCTCACTGCAGTGCGGGGAGATACGGTGTCTGCAGTCAGCAATCAAACCCCAGAAACAGCTCAGTTTATGCCAGAATCCCGAATCCCTACGGCTCTATTGCTACCTCATGGTCCTATTCAGGACCCCTACGGCCGCGTCACGTAACAAGCCGGGCCCGATCATTGGTTATATTGGAACTTTCAGTGTTTGGTGGCTTGGCGGACCTCCTGACACTCGAGCATATTATGCCGCAGGTCCACGACCTTATTACCTTGCACTGCATCTCCAGCTTGCAGCCGGTGGATAACCCCTCAGTGCCGTAGCATTGTTGTACTCCGTTATACTGCTTTACAAGTTCTACCACACGGCGCAGTCGTAGCAAACACCTATTCAAGCACCTCCGTCAAGTCGGCCCTTGTAAGAATCCTATTCTAAACTCGACTAAATCCTTCGTCGATACACGACCGTGAGATATTCACCCTTCGTTGTATCAGCGATCGCAGAGTCCTTCCAAGCTTCTTCTACGATCAACTAGCGGCTCTTCAAACCTAGCTTCCGCGTGGGTCCCTCGTCCATAACCGGGAAAGCCTCGATGCCAATGCGGCACGAAAACGGGAACGGACGCTCGAACCTCGACCAACATTTGGCTCGACTGAGTTTAGTCTACAGACGGGGGACGGTATTCATTCGCTTAGCAACGTTCTACTACTAATATCCCGCGGTCATAGAATGTTTAATACACCAGATGGAAACTTCTTGATAATACCTACTTTGATATTTTATTATATATTTTATCTTCAACACTCACGTAGTAAGCACTAAGACCTGACATTATCTCAGATTTGGGGCTCCCGATTCCTCTGACGGCATACCCATGGTTCTGGAATACACGTGTGCAACCTAAGGCACACACGGTGGTAATATGGAATATGTAGCTCGAATCATCCGGACCAGAAATACTGCTGCGTCCTTACTATCAATCTATCGCTGTCATCATCTGCAAACCGGGGCACAGTTCCCGCCTAACTGCTTCCAACCGGACGATAAACACCTGACAACGTGCCCACGATCGGGATTTAACAAGGTTCTGACAGGACCCTGGCTTGACTGGACCGTAGATTATGTAGTAAATAATACGTGGGAGTAACTTACTACCTAAACGGCGTCCACACGGCGGTAAGCTCGGGGAGACGGGGAAAATATGGATGGGGGATGGAAGCTGGAAGATAGAGATTGGGAACTATTATGGATATATATACCTACCTACCTACCTACATTGCCACACATCAATATTTCCACTACTTATACATCTAAGCCTACATGACGATAGGCCTCGTCCTACCATCGGCGGACGCAGTGTCGCATTGCATATTCTGCAGCGGAGGCGAAAGAGAAAACAGAAAAAAAAGAAAAAGGAGCGGTGAATATCGAGTCATATCTGAGGGAGGACACAAACGGTTTCCCGTGAAACCCCTCCAAGCCAGGCCAATGATAAGCTGGGGGGGGAGAGCCGGGGACGTGTGATTGGCGCTGCCGGGTTGGGATCTGGTAGATACCTAGGTAGGTCAAGGTGGCTTATTACGTGAGCTTTGTTGGAGCAGGGGGTCCGACGGTTTACAGATAGCAAACAGACTTGCGAGCTGGCTACCCGGTAAGGTGGCTTGCCGGGGTTCCGAAGCTGGCTAGGTAGCCAACGCTGAAGATGTTATGTACTACCAACTGCGTGCCTCATACGGACGTAGGTATCCGTATTAGTTGGTTGGTTGGCCGGCTGCTGGCTTCTGTGTAAGTGTAAGTGTATAACCATGTGTACCTAATGTAAGGTAACATAAGATAATATAAAATAATGTCGATGATCTAAATAAATAAGAACTATATATATAAAGGACGTATCTGCTTATCCCTCGCCCTCAAGTCCGTCCCGACCCCCAATGACTCCTCCTATCTTCCCTCAACTCGTCGCGGAGAACGTCACACAACGATTGCCACCTCAACTCGACTACCTATGTCTACCCAGAACGAGTCCATGCCTCCCGGGGAGGGCCGCCTGCAGCCGCGGTTGTCGAGGCTGACGATGGTCGCTTTGACGTTCGCTATCCTTAAGTGAGTCGGTCCAATACCCGGTGTCCTGAGACAACGACACGAGCGACTGGCGGCTAACCATAGCGCCCGTTGTATGATAACAGTACATGGATCGCGCTGGCAGGATCAATTGGCCTCGTTCTGCCCTCGGGCGGCTCCGTCTCGTTCCTCTACGGCTTCATATTCTGCGTCCTGTGCAACCTGGCCCTCGCCGCGAGCCTCGGCGAACTAGCCGCGATATGGCCCACGGCAGGCGGCCAGTACCATTTTGTGTATGCGCTGTGCGCGGAGAAGTGGAAGAAGTCTATGGTGGGTTATTTTGGGCTCTAGAGGCTCAGCGGGGAAGAATAACGATACCTAAGGAAGGGAGGCTGACTTGTATGCGCAGCTAGAGCTTCTGGGTTGGCTGGACGAACATCGCGGGCTGGCTTACGCTTGTGACGACTGAGGGCTTCTTCGCCGGTAAGAATTCCCCCTGTTCCTTGCTGTGTGTGGTGTGGTATATACCAGAAAGCAAAACGAGAAGTTGACATGATATGTATTTTACCGCCCACAGCGCAGTTCATCTCGGCCGCCGCAGTCATCGCCTCCAACGGCGCCTACGCGATCGAGGAATGGCGCACATACCTAATCTTCCTCGCGATCCTGACCTTCACGACCGGCGCCAACATCTGGGGGAACCGAGTGCTCGGGCGCTGGAACGACGCGGCGCTGTACTGGTCGCTGCTGGGCGTCGTCGTCATCAGCATAGTGCTGCTGGCCACGTCGGACAAGAACGGCGCCGAGTTCGTCTTCGCCGAGTTCCAGAACGAGACGGGCTGGTCCGACGGCATGGCGTGGATCCTGGGCCTGCTGCAGAGCGCGCTGTCGCTAATCGGCTTCGACGCGGCGCTGCACATGACCGAGGAGATGCCGCGGCCGGCCGTCGATGCGCCGCGCGCCATCATATACGCCGTTGCTGTGGGCGGCGTGACGGGCGTTGCGTTTATCCTTGTTATTCTGTTCTGCATTACGGATCCGGATACGGTTCTTAACACGCCGACTAACATGCCCATCGCCGAGTTGATCCTCCAGGGCACGGGAAGCCGAGCCGCGGCTACGGTGTTGACGCTGATGCTGGCTGTGTGCTTCGTCAACGGGACGAATGGGTGTGTGACCAGTTCGAGTAGACTGCTGTATGCCATGGCGAGGGATAAGGGTATTGCGTATCATAACTAGTAAGCTTTTCCCCCTTTTCCTCTCATTTCTCTCCCTCTCCCTCTCCCTCTTTCTTGTCCCTCTCTCGACTAACATCCCCAGCTTCGCTCACATAACCCCCAAGCTCGACGTGCCAGTCCGCACCATCGTCTTGACCTTCGCATTCAACGTCCTCTTCGGGCTCCTATACCTAGGACCATCAGTCGCCTTTAGCGCATACGCGGCCAGTACGACCATCTTTCTCAACGTGTCGTACGTGATCCCCGTCGTCGTGTTATTGATACGCGGCCGCGGTGTTTTGCGCCAGTACCAGGCTGAGAACACGTACTTTGCGCTTGGGAAGGGCGGCTGGGCGCTGAATTCCGTTGCTGCTGTGTTTGTTATCGTGACTTCTGTGGTGCGTATATCTGATTTGCCTCTATTATTCGTTAACGAAAGGGATTTGATGTGAAAGAAAGAAGGAATTGCTGACTGGTGTTGTTAGTTCTTCTGCTTCCCGACTGGACTTCCCGTTTCAGCAGATGAGATGAGTAGGCAGTCCCTTTATTCCCCGTCCATAAAATCTATACTATACGAGCTATATCTTACTAACGGCAAACAAACAGACTACGTAGTCGTCGTGATTGGCATCTTCCTGATATTAGTTGGCACGTACTGGATCACATATGGCAAAACCTTCGAGGGCCCGGTAATTTTCTCTTTCCTCCCTCCCTCCCCCTGCTTGTTTCCCTATATCCCTCTGGAGAAGGGTTCGCATGAACTGACACTGCCTTCTGTAGACATTCGAAGCCATCATCGGACATGCGCTCGGAAACGAAGAAGACGCAGGAGTAGTAGTTTCTGTTTCCCCTTCGGAGAAAGAAAACTAGCCGTCTAATAACCAGGACGAAAAAGAGGTTGCCTCCTAGAGTGGAGGTATGCCTTATTAAGATACCCGCGTATTGATTTCTTCCGAGCTACTAGGCCGAGATATGAAGCATTTATATGCATCTTTTTATCCATTTCAGACAAGATCATAAAAGACACTTATTTGACACGTTATAGATTCAAGGGGAATGGGGGTTTGAAACGACATCTCGCTCCTTAACCATCTTTATATAAGCATATATTCATTCATTCATTCGAGTCCATAGAATTTTTAACCTAGGTAGTCGAACTATACCAAGTAACTGAATAAATTTACTTTACTCACTTGCCAACATGAAATCGACTTTGCGAATTCTCACTACACAATAGTCAAACCCCAAGCAACAATCATAACTTAAATAGTATATTCATTCGTGATGGGGTATTTACATGATATAGCATATCTACTCTTAACAAAGCTCTCAACATGCCTTAGTCCGTCTAGGACTAGGTGTTATTTCATAACCGATCCGCAACCTATACATGCAATGGATTTTCTCTCGTGGGCTGACACGAAGCTCTCCGTAAAAATTTCAGACCTGTGACTGGCCAGGCCGGGTATGTAAAAACGCCGGGTAATGCGATGATCATTATTGAATCCCTCGCCATGTCCGTCCTACATTGTTCTTGTCCTGCCCGAGTCGTATTGGAACGTACTCGCCATTCTAAAAGATGAATTTTGGAAGAAAAAAAATTGGTCGAGGATGATGGCACCCTCGATTGGTCACCGAAGGACCTGCTCGAACTTGACGCAGAGCATTGACGCCGTCGGGAACGTTCGTATCGCTTACAGCCAGTGAAAGGACGACAGCATATGGGGACCCTAGTTCACTGGCAGGCGGAATTTGACAACCTGAGGGAAGACTGAGTTCCAAGAAGTAATCGACGGGCCGAAAGACTAGCTTGTCTAAAGCTAAATAAAAATTTGTTAAACCTTGACGCAGCGGAAAAGAAAAAAAGGAGACCCCAAATTTCTTTCATGCCAAGCGCTAGCTGACTTAAGAATAAGGGAGGTTCGATTCGCTCTTGTACCCTGGTTCCGTGGGCTCGACATCTTTTATAGGGTGAAGCAACATCGGTGGTAAGCAGGGACGCCCGTAGAGTTCTTCCCACTCTTTGCCACCTACGTTGGTATCTTCCCAACCCATAAAATTCAGATATAGTCGCTGGGGTGGGTTTGCCCTATAATACCAAGTGCTCCCGCGATATCTAGCTTCTCGTCCCCAGCCCATGGCGGAGCCAACACCTCCACTTTCGCCCTTCGGACCGCCATTAAACCACTTAGCGAGGTCCTCGCCTTTCCAAGGTCTATCAAAGAAGACGGGCATCGGGACGTAAACTGCCTTGAGGCCGTGGAGGAGCGCGGTAGTTTGCGTGACCATTTCTGACGAGATATGATTTCCACGAAGGTTCTCGACGTGCATGATGTCAAGAAGCCTCTTGGACACTCTCGAATGCGTTACAATGGTAGCCCTTCTCGGTAGATCTGTAGTTGCGTGTGTGGAATCATTAAATCCCCAAAGCTCATTACCGCTAATCCAAGAACTATTGATGGGGTTGAAAATTGGGGCAACGGTAATTAGATCCGCCTCTTCACCAACGCCCCATATATAGTTATCATCTTCGGGCTTTGCGACAGGTGGCTTCGGCCCAACAGGGTTAACGAAAGGCAGCTTTGGAGGACCCCAAACTGTGTCCTTTCCCGATATACGCTCAACTTCTTTTCGGAACTTCGAATCGTAATCACCGTGGACGGATGGGATATAGTAGCGCTCGTTGCGTTCCCATAGTCCTCGGCGTGGCTGACGCTTGGCAAACGCGGCCAACTTCTCAACGAAATCGTAGTTATGGCCGGTGACTCTTGCATCTATTTCCCAGTTCCAGATATAGTCGAATTCGGGGAACTCTTGGGCGAACTTCTGAACTGACAGCCACTGCGAGACGTGTACAGTCGCCTTCTTAGGGTCGATCTTAGGGTACATAGTCTGCGTGGCCTCGTCATTCCAAAGGATAGCAATGTCCCTAAACTCAGGAGGCACATTCCTCTGTAGAACGTATTGGTAAGTTTCCTCATCCTCCCAAATTGCATATGCAGTGTCTTTGACATGGACGAAGAGGAACACTTGATATAGACCTCCGGTGCGCAACGAAAGCTCAGCGATTAAAGATCGAATCACCTGCTTGTCATTCTCGGTATATTCCTTGCCGGTGTATGTCCGCAGTAAAAGTGCCGTTCTCTCTTCGCGGGTAGTAGTAATTTTAGACGTGCCGGATTTGCGTTTTTCGAGAAGACCCCTCCTTCGTCGTATTGATGCACCCTTTTTTAAGTCTTCCTTAGGGTGGGAGGACTCCAAGGTACCAGGATCGCTCTCCCTGTCACCATCTGCACCCGTGACGCTCGAATTTTGACGTGCGTACACCGTGGTGAGGTATGGATTGGACTGCCCCTTCATATCGTAGCGTGCCTTGTTCTTTAGGGCACACTTTTCTTGTAGCTGTCCCCAACGAACACCGTCCCAATCGATCGAGGAAGCTGAGTGGTCATTGTCCGACTTATAGCCGTAAATACCTAGCCGTGTCTCACGCTCGTAACATAAATTCCCATCCATACCAAGGGCAGTGTAGCTTCCGAAACCGGGCTCGGGGAAGTTTTTGGGCTGACCTTTGAAAACGAATACATCCCCTACAGGTGCACCACCTGGCCCTTCGCAAGGTACAAGTTCAGCTCTTTCAGCGAGCCATGTCTTTTCGTTGTACTTAGGATATGGATTGTAGACGTAGGGATTATGCTCGGTAAATCTCGGTTTGCCCTGGGTCTGTGCTAAGTGATCGTCGATGGTTAGAGATCGTCTCTTGTCAGGATCCAGAGTATTAAGCGTCTGCCCAAACAAGGTATCGGCACCAGGCTCTCTGTGCTATCGTTAGAACGTGCGACAATATGATAAACAGCCCAACATACTTAGCAAGCGCCTCATATTCTCGATCAAACTGCTCCCGCAAGTCTTCCTCTCTTTGCTCCTCTTCTTTGTGCTTCTCTTCCTCCTGCCCCTCCTCTTTCTTTTGATCATGTACTTCGGCTTGAGGATGTTGATTTTGCTCGTTGTTACTAGGGCCGGTCGCTGGTAAGGAAGCTGGGGCTGGTTTGGTCTCAGTGTTGCCTTTTAGAGGAGCTTGTACTGGTCCAGAACTCCCATCAAACCATCTCGCTGTATGAGGAGTGGTAGACCCATGCAGCAAGGTCCAGTACAGAGTCGCTGCAAAGACTGCGACGAGCAGGAGACCTTTCGGTCGCAACAACAATCGACGGGGTTGTACCGCCAACATGTTTTCGAGTTAATTGGAAGGATAGACGCGGCTTACGGACCGGGGAGCGATAAGTCGGTATCGCAAGATTTATGCAAGATGGAGAGGTAGGAACATGGCGAGATCGTTAAAATTATCTCTTCAGATTGAATATCGGTGTTTAGCTAGAATCGAGGTAAAAAGCCAAATGCGATAGTCGCTTGGTTGACTTGAAGCTTGTATACAGGGTATACAGGTTAGATTCCTAGCCTAGGAATTTGATCTACGGTTCGCGGAAGATCGAATTTCAATGCTGTAACAAATAGTCGTCCGAACGGATTGTCTCGTCTGAAGGTCTACCTAGTAAGCTCGAAAATGCGACTGCAAATGAGGAAGGATAATAATATAAAATGAGCGTAGGAGGTTAACGTGATAGTAGATAACCGGTCGGATAAAGAAGATTACGACAGCACTCAGAAAGGTCCGAGGCCAAGTATAACAAGTGGTGACAAGGTATTGTAAAAAAGAAAACGAAGGGTGAATCCCGCAGGAGAAAAAACAGGCTTGAGGGATGTGCGAATAGAAGGGGAAAAAGAGACTAGGGAGCGCAAATCTCGCGATGTCTTGGCCATGGTGATCAACACCAAAGCAGATCAAGTGGGATGCTTGAAATTGGGGACCCCCTTCACTCTCTCCCCTTTTTAGGAAAAAAGTTGAAGGTTCAAAAGATGAGAAGATGCGCGACAGGGTCACGATCACATACCGACACTTGAAGCGCTATACACTACACTAGGTTAGAGCACTTACATGTGTTACTAGGGGTAGTAGGTACTGTATACATCAATGTTATGTTTCGACAAGGTGTTCTTATTATTCTCTATGTATTCTTTTGCACTCTCGTGGCCTACAAGGTACATGGGAAGTATGGGGAGGACCAATGACTGATTTCAACCTAACATGTTTCCAATACAGGATTGAGTTAAAGCGAAAGTACATACATACATACTAGGTAGATTCACCGGTCGTGGATCCCTCTTGCAATATCGAATATCGAATATCAAATATAGTCGATTTAGTGTAATGGCCCCTAAACTCTTTCCATATAAACGCTTTGCTCATATTCTACCCATATTCTTATGGACAAAGATAAGACAAGTTTGATATGGTTAATTGTTTAAATCTGCTGTGCGACTCAGGTATGTACAAGAGGGGTTTGAGATTACATGAGGTACCTATGTTTGAGGTACAATATGTACAATACAATGTAGCTACATACTACATGTACCTACATAACCTAGGTAATGCTGCGTGGACGATTTAGCGTGGACGGGTGGCTGCTGGCTGCTGGCTGCTGGCTGCTTCAAGTTGAGGTGAGCTCAATATTACGCATCATCCATTACGCATGCAACATCTTCTTCGAGATTATCAAACACTTACATATCAATTAATATCACTATCTCTCTTGGTATCTATTTTTTTATATTCAGTTTCTTAACGAATATACGTTCTTTTTCTCATCACGTAACTCGACCATATTCAATAATTTACCCTAGAATCTCTTAAGGAGAAGGCTTCATGCTCTCCTTTCCCGCATATGCCGTAGGTATGTACATGTAGGTAGTTAAATTGACGCGATAAGGTAGGTGTGAAGGGTTAAATTTGTAGCCTGTAGGTGTAATTTGGGAAATGCCGATTGGAGCGTCTGCAGTATGCCTTGTTTAATAAGATAAGGAAATTTACACTAGTTAACTTTTTCGCCCTTCCTGCCTTCCTATATTCTTACCTTGCGGAAATGATACTCCACTTCTTTACTGCACTAACAAAATACTACAATAGTATATCGTCCCTACTTATCAGACTATTAGTATAGGAGATATACTTTTATCAACTCAAGGGTCACAGATATAGCCCATTAGTCTTATCAACTTCCAAACCTAAACTTCGCAGCCTCTTGTTCCTAGGTACTGCTACCTACATACACACCTGTCGTTAGATCTAATGTCCGGGAGTGCGTAAAATGCAAGCCGTTGAATATTATTTCTACCTCCTAATTTACATAGGTACCTATCTAAGCTACGCTAATAGCTCAAGGCACAACCAACTAAACAAGCCATGAAAGCAACGGGCTATCATTGGCAATTCTTTAACATTCTCACCGCATATGTCGTTTCGGGGCTACCCAAATGGAATACATACTATTAGATGCTACCTAGGTACATACCTCTAGAGTTGGTGACACGGTTCCCCAAAGTCAGGTACGAAATACTACGTGTCTAACCTAATATAACAGCTGAACGGGCGGCTCGCAGCCATTCATACATACCTAGGTACATAGGTACACAGCTAGTCTCGTCACGCCATGGGGCAAGGGACCAGGGGACGCACGAAGCGCACGCAGAGATCGTCATCGTGCAGCGACCTAAACGATCCAATCAAGGAGCCTCCACGGCAGCTTTATCTCTTACATAGGTTAGGTACATAGTACATACCTACACAAGCTCATGGTCACATTCGCTAAACTATCCCCATTCGCCAGCTAAAGTTGCCTGTTTCGGAAGCACGCATTCTTCTTGGCTGTCCTCAAATTTTAATATCTAACAGGAAGTTTACCTACATACTCGGACGGCAAGGAAATAATAAATAGGTCATAGGACTTGCAAGTTTATAATAACTAGGTACCTACCTAACTAACCTAAGCGCTTATCCACCAACAAAAAACTACGGAGGTTACTTAGGTGGCCTCTCCATTTACCTACATGTAGGTATTGTACAGCCGCGCATATAAATATCCCCTCGCTCGAATACTTCCGGAGTGCCTATTATGATGCCTACCTACCTACCTACCGCACATCTCGATGATCGATCGCGACGACCCGCGCACATACGTACGTGAGCACCCGAGACCAACAGTTGGGATCTTCGTGATGACGTGACATTGGCGACGGTAGCATAGCATGCAGAGATAATAAGACTGAACTAGAAGCACGAGCCGTCAAACATAGTAGCAGAGCCAGCAGTACCTAAGGTAACAGGATAATAATGTAATACAATGCATACCTACCCACCTACACAGCAGTCGGTACGATCGATCCCGCATACTCATCTAAGATATTATACATACCTAACCTACCTACTTACCTACCTACCTAAGGTACCTTATTCATCGACGTCTCGTACCCACCAGGACCTCAGCTCCATCTACATAGACTACCCCGGCCACCTTCCCCCATACGAACAAATAAATGAACCCAATAGCGGCCGGTGACAGGCTCTATATATTAATTCCCTTGTCCACGCAGTCCCAAGCCGTCTCTCTACCACCCAACTAGACAGGTATGGAACCTTAACAACCGCAAATTTGCGTGCGACCCTGCCGCTGTACCCGGGTATCCACGATTCTGCCGTCGGATGCGGCCTGCCAGCCTATAGGCTGCCCTGGGTAAATCACATACATAGGTACCTACCTATACACACATATGTGTATACACCTACACACTAGGATGGGGTACCGCTGCTGCTGTGATATATACTACTGTGTAATAGTGACGAGCTGGAGTTCGTCAACCATTCCCATTGGCACGACCGTTTCAACAAGTGCCACTAATTTCGGATTCGGAAGCACGAAGGAGGTAAGTAAGTGAGACAGGGAATAAATCGTATCTAGATAGCATCACGATCGTATATCGTACTAGATCTATCTACTTCCTTCCATAGTCACACGCAGGCAAGGAATGTGGTTGTATGAATTCGTTGTTTGATATTACTATCACTCCGTCTGTCTACTCTTATCAGAGCAGACCAACTACTATAGCTATGCGCAAACGGTGTAGCTAAAGCAGTATACTATCGGTGATCTACAGCTTGTCGCTCGTGCTAGATCGCCCATCACATCACTCCAGTTATACTTCTTCCTCCCCTTGCCCATTCTCCCTATATCCCCACTGGTCGCGGTCAGCGAACGCTGGTTCCCACACCACATCGTCTAAGGCACTCTATCGTATCCATCCTACGGAGCCTTTCTTTAGCACCCTCCTCTATCCTATCCAATCCCATCCTCCCATCCCACTTCAGCACATCTCCCATATACCCAAGGGAAATGCAAGCGGCGATGTGTGCATCGGGCCCGCCAACATCCAATGCAGGTAGCCATGGCCCAAGGAAATAAATCTCCAAGGTACCAAATTAATATGATAATGATATGGACGCACATCATATGATTATAAAGCCGTAACGAAAAATAAAATAAAAGGCGGATATCTCGTCAAGGGATCCATAAGGTAAGCAACTAGCAATTGCGAAAGGAAGATCGGAAGGGTATATGCGACCTAAAAAAAAATCGAATGCTTTCCTGGAAAGGGGAACCCCAAACGCCGATGCTGATATATGATGATAATAATCGCACAGCCAGCAACATGGCGAAGCGGCGATGTGAAAGTCGATCGAAACAAAAGAGAGGCGTGTCGTCGTTACAGAACAAGGGAATATATATAAATCAGGGGCATATATGCTTTTATATCATGCCCATTCTCGTCATTCTCTTCTCCATCCTCGGCATCGAGCCGGCTAGGCCGCCACGGCCTAGAGCCTGGCCAGGAGCTAGACGGTTTCCGCTGGGCAAGCCGAATGGTCGATTAAGTCCCTTAGGACCCGGTCCCATAGGACTTGGGCCTATAGGGCTCGGTCCCATAAAGCCGGGACCGGAGCGAGGTGGTCTCGGGGGTGGAGGCCCTTGCGCGCCTGGCCGGCGCGGAGGGTATCCCGGCCTCGGTGGTGCTTGCTGTTGTTGCCTTTGGGCCTGCATAGCCCACTGCATTCGTTTCCAGGCGTCGCGCTCGCAGTACGATTTGCCATCTACGTCGAAATAACCATCACGTAAGACGATACCGCAGTCGCCGCATCGGAAACAATTCGGGTGGTGCTTCTTAGAGGATTCATCCTCGAGATATTGCCCCTCAATACCTATATTACAGCTCCCGCAGAGACTGCCATTAAGTTTATGATAATGTTGTTCGCAGTACGGCTGGTCGTTTAAGACATAGAATGTCGAAGAGGAGAAGGGTTCTTGGCATGTCGTACATACGAAGCATGCCTTGTGATAACGTCCAGTCAACCGTCCGTCTGCTGATGAGATTGACTTGCCCGTGATGGGCTGCTTGCACGCTTTGCAGTTACCACGAGAGCTTTGGCTTTTGGACGCTTGACGGGTGTGGGTTGGCCGAGTCGGTGGTGAGTCGCTTAAACCCTTCTGAATAGCGGGATCTCTACGATCTAAAGATTCGGACGGAAGCAGTGGTACCGCAGGCATATCTACTCTCGGATCCTGTCCCCTAAAGCTAGCAGGATCTGGCCTAACACTTTCCGAAGGTGTACGCTGGCTGTTAGGTCTTAGCGGCTCGGGACCTCTCTCGGATAGTGATCGGTCTGTAGGTGAGGGGGATTGTGGTTTAGTTTGCATTGCATCCATTGAAGTTTGCAAGTCATCTAACAGGGCATCGAAACCTGACATATCGGATGGCCGCCGTGCGTCTGGACGGGACCTTACTGACTGAGTCGGGCTTGTGTTTGAACTAGCTTGACTAGGACGAGACGAGTGGGTATAGCTAGAGTTGCTAGAAGATTGCGATATTGAAGACAAGTGGTAACGATTGCTAGTATTAAATTCGTCGCCAAGGTTGATAGAGGGTTTTCTGTCGCCATCTCGCGTTGATGGACG